GCTCCCATCCCGCCCCAAAGCCGCCGCCCCGGGAGTGAGGGGCGCGAGCCCCCTCAGGACGGCGCATCCGGGTCCAGCCTGCCCCCGGAGAGAAGTGGAAGCGATGAGGGTGTTTTGCTGGCTCTAGGATCCTTCCCGGTCTGTTGTCTGGGGGTTTGGCCGCAGTCCTCTGGAACCAGTGCGAGTCTGGACGGAATTCTGCTCTAGACCAGCCCCAGGGCACGAGGAGGGGCGAAGACCTCGTCTGAGCCTCACTGAGGGCTGGAAACTTGACCTGGTACCTAAAGGTTGCATTTGGAAACGGCCTGGGGGCGAGCGGTCTGCTGTCTCAGCACCCCTTCCACAGCGACCACGACCACTCGGAGGAATGCGTCTCCTCCTGGGAGCCCCCCTGTACGTCCCACTGTGGACCACAGGACCCTCTGTTCCCTTCTGAGACTCTTCTCTTCTCCCCTTGCTTGGTGGCCACGGTAGGTCTCCTCTGCCCTGTGCTCTCTCCAGATGCTGTGAGCAAGGAATGCTGGCCAAGGAAGCAGAGGATGTGAAGGACAGAAGCAGGCTCCTGGGTCCAATTTCTTCCCCTGAGTCATCCCGGTCTTAGGGGCCTGCACAGCACCCCACCACTGAGAACCTGAGGCGCCTGCAGACCTACGGGTCCCGCCCTCTGGCCGCCGGGTCATGCACTGGGTCGTCCTTGGTGCCACTTCCCCTGCTGCACACCTTTCATGCTGTGGGTTGAGGGTTGGGCTCCCAAGCGACCACCACCCCACCCCGCCCTCACAGGGATGTGACTTTCTTCTTTCCTGGCTGTTTGTATTCAGACGAAGTGGTGTCAAATAAAGCCACATCAGGGCCCTGGGTCGTTGATCTGAATGAAAAGTAAAATGAAATTTAATTTAATTTGAAATATTTTACCCCAAGAAAAGGGTAATTTTTGATTGCTAAGTTACTGTCCCTGTACTTTAAAGGGTCCTTCTATACAGGCATCAAAAGAGATGTAGCAAAGAAAGATCTGAGTCTTCCAAGGCTTCCTAAATGATGTAAAATCCAAAGTTCTTTCTGTGGCCACAAGTACTTCGCAGTTTTCATAATTTTGCCTGCCAGTCCAGCGTCACCCACTTTGGTTCCTCTCCAACTGCCCACACTCCTGGCACCTGGACTCTACACACTCCCCCAATCATTCTGCACACTTCCAAGGGACCCTGCCTCTGTGCTGTTTCCTCAAACCAGCGAAAACTTGCCTTCCACTCAGATGAAAGGTGAACTATTTCTTCTTTAAGTCAGAAAACTTCACACTTGGGTATACAACCCCTGGGGTTCACAGCCACTTCCCAAGGGGAACTAGGCAAGAAAAGTTTTAGAGTGATCTGTTTCCAGACCCTCAAATTCAACTGTACTCTTTCCTAGAATTGACCTGCCTGAGAATTCCATAGGGTCCAACCCTTCCTTCACACCCACCCTTCACTCAAATCAAAATGCAGGCATGATGCCCATCAAAGGACAACTGGAAATACTGGTGTAAGTTTTAATGGAAATGAATGATTCATGACTGGGTAGCAACTTTATTCAGTTCTTTATTTCCAACAAAATTGAAGGAAGACCCAATTAAGATGTCAGCTGATATGTCTTTAAAATAATTTTTTATAGTAGATGATGTTATGCATTGAATTCTGTCCCCCCAAAATAATATGTTGAACTCCTAACCTCCAGTACCTTAAACGTGAGGTTTTTTGGAAATAGGGTCTTTTTAATAAAGTTAAAAAGAGGTCATGAGGGTGAGCCCTGATCCAGTAAGTCTGGTCTCTGTATCCAAAGGGGAAATTTGGACACTAAGGCAAGCACACACAGGAAAAAGACACCCTGAAGACGCACAGCAAGAAGACAACCATTTGACTGGATTGATGCCTTAAGAGGCAAAGAAACGTTCCCTAGAGCTCGCAGAGAGCCTGGCTCAGCCAACAACTTGATTTCAGGCTTCTAGCCTCCAAAAGTGAGAAAAAAAATCTGTTATTTTAAGCCACCCAGTTTGCAGTACTTTCTTATAGCAGCCCCAGGAAACAAATACAGATTTCTCGGTAACTAATTCCCGAAGAGTTCAAAATAATTGAGAGACAGCATTCAAGCAAAACTCCTGCTTTAACCACTTTTCTCATCATGTGCACCCCTGAAGCTGAAAAAGGAGAGAGGAAATCCATGAAAGAGGGGGAAATAGAATCTGGTCCATTCCAGCAAAAAATATTCATCTTAGGATTCACAAGCTATTTAAAAGTTACTTTCTATACCACTAAGTAAGATATTACTATAAAGTTCTACTTTTCATAAATTATGAATTGAAGTGTGTAATCCTTTGTGTTGGTTTAGTCAATTAATTTGTTAACAATTAATTTGTATTTCATTGATAAAAAATGTTTAGCACTTGGCTTTATGGGCCTAGACATTTTTAAGTTAAATATTTTAACTTATTTACATATTTTTGTTGCAGAGTAGTGTGGTAGGATGACTGTTAGAGACTTTTGGGGGGAGGTAATTCGGTTTATTTATTTACTTTTAATTTTTATTTGTTTATTTTTTTAGGTGGAGCTACTGGGGATTGAACCCAGGACCTCATGCATGCTAAGTATGCACTCTACCATTTGAACTATACCCTCCCCCTTTATTTAAATTTTTCAGGTGGATTTACTTATTTTAATTTTAGATGGATAGAAGACTTTTAAGTATAATACTACAGCAGAGTAAGATTCTATGAGGGAAGTAGAAAGGACATGAAGTTCAAATGTGAAAAAGGAATCATGTAAAATTTCCTGCTACTGAAGAATTTCTATTTCATGTACTTTTTAAAAGGATGATGGTGATTGTCAAAACCATACAGTATTTAGACACCATTGAATACATTAATAAAAGTGATTTAAGATTTTTATTTTTAAGGTATATATTTGCACTACACAGGAACTGTTAGCTGTCACTTTATTCATGTAAATAGGTTTACAGTTCATCAAAATCTTCCTAGAAAGTATGTGAGCAAAAAAAGTTTGAAGACCGTTGTTTGAAGGTCCAGTGGAAACACTGCTTCCTTTGTCCAGGCTCCCTGCCCTTTCTCTCTCCTCTTCCCCAGAACTGCTTCACCATTTGCTACAACAAAGAGGATGCTGTAACGCAGGGGAAGGATCAGTGGTCTGCAGCTCTCTCCTTACTGCCGGCGGCAGGACAGGAGCGACGGGTGGTTTCTATCTGTATGCCTGCAGGGCGTGACTATAGACGCAGAATATGTGCTGACTAATTTGTTCGACTACGTAGTTTGTAAGAATTTCCCTAACATAGTCCTATCCTAGAGTTTGCGGTGGAAATAACTTTTGGTAGAAAACATTTTGGTAGAAAAATATGCATTTTAATCCCAAAATACACTGAGGAAATGTCTGGTACTACCTAGAATAATTGAATTGAAACCAAGTAAAAGGCCCCAAGCCATTTGAAGTATAGTATAGTGGGCCTCTCTTACAGAAAAGCTGAGTGAAGATGTTAGAGTTATTTGGAATTAATTGCCTTAAGAAACAAAATTTTTGTTGTTTTCAGAAAAAAATCTGGAGGCTAGTGGGTATTGCAAGTAGAGGATGCAGAGGAAGTTGGTGTGGTAGTTACTACTGTAACGTAGTAAAGATCAGGTCAAGTAGTAAACAGCAAGATTGGAGAAAACGTAGCAACTTTGTTTAAATGAGCTAAGGGAAAGACTGCTTTGAATTGCTTCCAAGTTCTGAGTAGATTAATAATCTCCATCACTCAGTGGAAGAAAAAAGCTGCTTCATCCACGGTCTAGTCCTCAGTTTTGGCCCACGATTAAGGATGAAGTCTATTTCATTTCTCTATGTTGCTTCCTTCTCTTCCTTCTTCCTCTTTTTTCTCTTTTAAAATCAGTAAGGTGGGTATTAAGACACCAATGGGAACCCTCCTCATAAATCTTTCAAGTCCACACCGTTAATGGAATATTAGTCTATACTTGATTCTATGCTTACACAGATATGTTTACATAAACATTTCTATTCTTAAAATAGAAAATGGAGTTATTTATCATCTCACATTGGCTTTCCAATTAACAATGTTATAAACGTTCCAAATCAGCCCACGTAGGTGCCCCTAGTCCTTCTTAGTTGCTGCCTCTCCGTCTACAGTATTGTTCTGCCTCACTGCCTCCGTTCCTTCTCTTACAGCTGTTAACGGGGTAGAACCACAGGCCCCTGATACCAAACCTAGGTTTAATCCCACACCTAACTGCAGTTTCAGCCTTCTCCAGAGAAGGGATCTTAATCACCCAGTGTGGAATTTTCTGGTTGGCACCGGTGAAGTAATGTCCCTTAGTTCCTCTCCATCACCTCCTGCCCCTCCCCCCGGAAGGAGAGGTAATTTGCATGATCAAACACTTGCCCAGTACTTTTCCCCCCCAAAAGATGATGTCCTGGCCCAAAACAACCCTTTCTCTTCTTTTGCTAATGACTGCCTTGCTCCACCCTCCTGCTTATAAAAACCTTCCATTTTTACAGCTCCTTGGGGGACCATTCTATCTACCAGATGGAACGCTGCCTAGTTCAGGAATCGTTGAATAAAACCAATTAACTCTCCAGATACACTTAGTTGAATTTTGTTTTAACATAAGACAGGTATAATGTAGAAAACAAACTCATAGTTATGGGGGGGAGAGGGGTGAAGGGATAAATTGGGACTTCGATATTTGCAGATACTAACTACTATATATAAAATAGATAAATAGCAAGTTTCTACTGTAGAGCACAGGGAACTCTTCAGTATTTTGTAGCAAGCTATAATGAAAAAGAATATGAAAAGGAAGATATATATGTATACGTATGAGTCAAACATTGTGCTGTACGCCAGAAATTGACACAATATTGTAAACTGACTATACTTTAATAAAAAATTTAAAAATTAGAGATAGGTGTAATTACAGTACTTAGCACACACGACTGCAATGGGAAGCAAGCGTTGGTTACATGAAGTACTTAGTACTGTCCTGGTGCAGGAGGGGCTGTGTCAGTTTGGGGGAAACCTCATTCTGTTTCACATCTAACTAGAAATTGCACAACAAGTATATTCCCTAATTTCTAATTATTTGTATGGTGATAAATGCATAGGGTATTTTCACTTTTCTACTATCACAAATTCAGCTGCAGTAAGCATTCTGAAACAAAAATTACAGTTTTTCACTTCTTAACAATTTTTTGCTTCTTAAATAACAGCAAAAAACCGTTAACAACAGTGATGCTGAGAAGTATGAGGAAAGTTAGTCCCACACACTAACAGCTGGAGTACGAGGTAGTAGGTGGGTACAAGGGTCTGTTAGAGTTAAAATCTGCATGTACTGTGATCTCGCGTTCTAGCTTTAGGACCCCAATCTACAGAAACAGATACAGGCTAAATTTTAAAAATTCACGTGGGTGTTAGATTTTATCTATGAAATAAAGTATTTATGAGAAAACTTTTTAAAGCTCACCCAAATGGATTTTTTTTCTTTTGTTAAAGTGGATTATTAACTTAGGTCATGTGAACAAAGATTGCCTCCTGCCACATCAGTAAACAAAGGATGTGGTGGCAACCAAGCCCTCAGCCACCCCAGAGGCCCCTCCTGCACGGTGCGCCCCACCCCGCCCAGGGGACTCAGGATCCTGGCCCTGGACAGTTAAAGTGCAGATCAAAGGATTGATTTCAATGAGCCCAGACTCTCGCATCTTCCCATACATAGAAGAGTGCTAAATTCATTAATTTGAGTTGTCTGGGTTTTCTTTAATTAACAATAATCTTTTGATCTTTCCACTACCTGTTTTTTCTGTTTGTTTGTTTTGGTTTTTTGGTTTTTGGCTTCTTAATTGGCTCCACTAACTTTTTTTTAATTGAAGTATAGTGGTGTTTACAGTATTGTGTGAATTTCTGGTGTACAGCATAATAATTCAATTCTACATATACATATGTTCCTTTTCATATTCTTTTTCATTGTAGGTTATTACAAGGTATTGAGTATAGTTCCCCGTACTATATGGTAGGACCTTGTTGTTTATCTATTTTATATATAGTAGTTTGTATCTGCAAATCCCCAACTCCAGATTTATCCCTCCACCCCTACACCTTTCCCTCCTAGTAACTATAAGTTCATTTTCTATGTCTGTGACCAAAGACCTGTTTTTTGTTTTTGTTTGCAGAAACTCCTACATATCCTGGCTCCTCCCTTACCTCTTTGGAACAGACCCTCAGAGCTATCCTAGAGGCTGTCTCCCAGGCTTAAGTCCTCATTTTGTCCACCAGATAAAACATAATTCTCAGCTTTTAGGTTGTGCATTTTTTTCCAGTGGACAGTCATTTGTAACAACATATTATTTCATTTTTGGGAGGTTGTTTTTCTGAAAAGTTTAATTATACTTCATATTACTGAAACTATATACTAATTGAAAATATAAAAGCTTATTAAAAGACCCAGTTGAAAAATCATTCCATTTAGAAAATCATGACAATGCTAATATTCTTTGAACGAATATCAGATTCTAAATTACTTCATCTGTAATCTGTATCCTGTGAAAACCAAAATCCAGAATCACTGTTTGCTTTCTAATAGAACATTTACCAGTTCATTTCCAGTATTTTAGTAAATCTATGAAATTACAACAATTAGTAGATACTAGGAAAGAAACTGAGGGAAACCTCTCTCAGTGACCGACTATTCGTCAATGCTTCTTACATTTTTTTCTGTTCTTTTGAAAAAAACGCATGCCTCTTCCTGACTTAGCAAATCACTCACTTGCAAAAATAAATTTCTTAATAGTACAACCCGTGATTAAATGAGCAGACAAGAAATATTTTATATACCAAAAGCTCTAAATGTTCTAAGATACATGTGATGAGGTAATTCTACAGGAAAAGTTACATGTGACATGACCCTTTAATTCTGGAGAAGTCTATCCCCACGATAGAGTTTGCTCTATAGAGAGCAGTATTACCCAGAAGTCCTGCATTACATCCTTCACGTGTCGAGCTTTGAGAACTAACTCAAAGGCGCAGAAGAGACTAAGACTTTCAAAGCCTTCACCGTTGCTGGCCAGAGAGGCCCTCATTCCATCTGACAGGTACAAATCATGCTTAGAATTTTAAAGAATCTCTTGAAACTCTCCTCATAATGTTTTCTGATGACCGACGTAGAAGCTGAACAGGGTTACAGAGAGGTTAAGACCCTTGCAGTTCACACAGCTAATTGGTGTTTGCTGATAATCACTTTTTATTTCTATGAAAAGGAACTCGAGAACAGATGGACTTGTGCCCTATTTGATCACCCTTCCCGGGATGACTGACTCTATCTCCTACGTCAGGAAAACTGCTGCAGATTGCCCAGCAACACCTCTGATCCGGGGACCTGGGAAAGAAGAACTCAGCCTGGCAGCCACTGTTTATGGCTGGGCTGGAAGCAATGTGACTTAGGGGCCAGGGGCCAAGAAACTTGATGTAGAAGGAATTTCACGTAACAGCTGAGATGTCATTCCCTCCCGTGAGGTCCTTTTAATGACTGTGCAGAGACACTGCAACGCCTGACAAAGTGAGGTAAGCTGGCGTCTAGTTCACCAGGAGTGTCTCAAAAGGGACACAGAAATGTCAGCATTTGGGGATCAGAAAGTGCACATCATGCTTAAGGTGGGGAACCAGCCCTGGCTGCTGGCTTCCCTGGCCACTAAAGTCGACCTGGGAAGAATTTTAAGTCACACAATTTTGTTAAAATATTACCAGGATGGTCTCAGCAGCTTTGTAAACCATTTGACAGCACTGGCAAGGATCTCTTTCTGGGCTCTGTTTTTATTCCATTTGTGTACGTGTCTGTCTTTATGCAGGTACTGCAGTTTTAATTGCTAAAGTTTACAGTGAGTTTTGAAATGAAGGCGTGTGCACCCTCCAGCTTTGTTCTTTCCCAACATGATTTTGGCTATTTGAGGTCCCTTGAGATTCTGTATGAATTTTTGGATGGATTTTTCTGTTTCTGCAAAATTGTTGTTGGGATTTTGATGGAGATTGCGTTGAGCCTGCAGGTCACTTTGGATTGTGTTGTCATCTTAACACTATTGAGTCTTCCAGTGAACAGAGGATATCTTCCCGTTTATCTGTGTCTTCTCTGACTTCTCCCAGCAGCGCTACTCAGTTCTCATCGCTCGTTGCTTCACTTGCTCCGTCTCCTTGGGGAGGCTGATTCCTAGCTCCTTAGCACTGTGCTCGTTGTGATGCACCTGTGAATGTGGCTTAATTTCCCTTTTTGATGGCCCATTATTAGTGTATGGAAGTGTAACTGATCTTGTTTTATTGTGATTTTGTGTCCTACCACTTTCCTGAGTAACTTTATAAGCCTTGTTCCTGATTTGAGAGGAGGAAAAGTTTTGAGTTCTTTTTTTTTTTTTGGAAAGTTTCGAGTCTTAACCACTGAGTGTGATGCCAGCTGTGGGTTTTCATAAACGCTTATTATTTTGACATAGTTTCCTGCTATTCCTACTTTATTCAGTACTGTCATCATCAAGAGATGATGAATTTTGTTAAATTCTTTTTCTGCATTATTGAGATAATGAAGTGCTTTTTTCTTTTCATTCTTTCAATTGATTTTAAAGATTTACAATTTTAAAATCTGAATTCAGTTTGCTAGTACTGTGTGGCGTATTTTTGCATCAATATTTATAAAGGATATTGGTCTTTAGTTTTCTCTTCTTGTGTCTTTGTCTGGCTTTGGTATCAGGTTGTGGTAGCCTCATACAATGGATTAAGAAGTGTTTGCTCCCCTTCAGTTCTTTCGGATAATGTTAGCTCTTCTTTAACTGTTTGGTAGAATTCACCAGTAAAGACGTCTGGCCCTGGGCTTTTCCTTATTGCAAGGTTTTTGATTACTGAAGTCAATCACTCTATTAGGAGGTTAATCAGGTTTTCTGTTTCTTCATGGTTCAGCTTTTGTGTGTGTGTGTGTGTGTATATGTATGTGGTTTCTTTCTATTTTTTTAAATTGAATTATAGTCAGTTACAGTGTGCCAACTTCTGGTGTACAGCATCCCAGTCATGCATATACATACGTTTATTTGTTTTCATATTCTTTTTCAAAAAGATTGTTTACTATGTCTGCGGGTCTGTTTCTGTTTTGTAGATGAGTTCATTAGTGTCCTCTTTTTTCTTTTTTAGAGTCCACATATAAGTGATCTCATATGGTATTTTTCTTTCTCTTTCTAGCTTGCTTCGCTTAGAATGACATTCTCCAGAAACATCTCCAGTTGCTGCAAATGGCGTTATGTAGTCGGTTTTTATGGCTGAGTAGTTTTCCATTGTATAAATATGCCACAACTTCTTTATCCAGTCATCTGTGGATGGACATTTAGGCTGTTTCCATGTCTTGGCTACTGTAAATAGTGCTGCTATGAGCATTGGGTGCAGGGTTCCTTCTGGATATGTGCCCAGGAGTGGGATTCCTGGGTTAGACCTTTGTTCATTTCTCATGTAAGCATTGATAGCTATAAATTTTCCTTCTAGTGCTGCTTTTGCTGTAGTTTTGGTGTGTTGGGTGTTTATTTTTATCTGTCTCAATATATATTCCAATTTCCCTTGTGATTACTCCTTTGACTCTTTGACGCTTAAAGAGTGTAGTGTTTGGGGAAAAAAAAGAGTGTGATGTTTAATTTTCACATATTATGAAGTTTCTAGTTTTCTTAATGGGTGTGAAACGTGGTATCTTACTGTGGTTTCCATGTGCCTTTCCCTAATCACTAGTGATGCTGAGCATCTTTCACGTGCTTTTTGGCTACTTGTACATCTTCTCTGTAAGAAGTGTCTATTCAAGTCCTTCGCCCATTTTTAAATTAGGCTGTTTCTTTGTTTTTGAATTTTTGCTCTCTCTGTCTTGTGGATTATAACCCTTAGTCAGAAGCATGATGAGCAAACACTCTCTCCCCTCTGTGGGTTGCCCTGTTCTCTGTTGATGGTGTCCTTTGATGTGCAGAAGTTTAGCTTTTTATGAAGTTTGATTTTTCTGTATTTTCTTTTGTTGCCTGTGTCTTTGGTGTTATGTAAAAGAAACCATTGCCAAATTCAAGGTCATGATGATTTAGCCCTATGATTCTTTCTAACAGATTTTTAATTTTATCTCTTACATTTAGGTTTTAGATCCTCTTGGAATCAAACGTTGTATATGGTGTTAGGTAAGGATCCAATTTCATTCTTTTGCATGTGAATATCCAGTTTTGCCACCACCATTTGTTGAAAAGACTGGAAGATGAAAACATCTTTCAGTCCATGAACACGGGATATCTTTCCATTTGTTTGTATCTTCTGTAATTTTTTCAGCAATGTTTTTGTCATTGTCAGTGTAAATGTCTTTCACCTCCATAGTTAAATCTATGCCTAAGTATTTTATCATTTTTGTTGCTATTGTATGTGGAATTGATTTCTTAATTTTCTTTCCAGATTGTTCATAGTTAGTGTATAGAAATGCAACTGATTTTTGTGTACTGATTTTGTATCTTGAAATTTACTAAATTAGCTTTAATATCCCTTCAACCCCTGCCCCTGTCATGGAATCTTTACGGCTTACTTCATATAAGAGTCTGTGAACAGAGATTGTTTTACTTCTTCTTCTTTTTTTTTTTTTTAACCAATTTGGATGCCTTTTATATCTTTTTCTTGCCTAATTGTTCTGGGTAGAGCTTCCAATCCTGTGTTAAGCAAAAGCGGGGGGAAAACAGACTCCTTCTCTTATATTTGCTCTTAGGGGAAAAACTTTAAATTTTTCACTGCTGGTTGATTTTTCTACATGGATTTCATTATGCTGAGATAGTTACCTTCTATTTTTAGTATATTTTGTGTGTTTATCATGCAAAGGTGTTAATTTTGTCAGATGCTTTTCCTGCATCATTTGAGATGATCATGTATTTCTTCCCCTTGGTTCTGTTCATACAGTGTCTTCAAGTTTTGTATATTGGAACTTCCTTCATTTCAGGAATAAATCACAATTGGTCACAGTGTATAATCCTTTTAATATGCCGCTGGGTTCAGTTTCCTATATGGTCAAGTGATTTTCCAGACGGACGCCAAGTCTGTTCAATGGGGAGAGGACAAGTGATGATGGCAAAACTGGACACCCACGTGAGAAATAGTGAAGTTGGATTCTTTTTCTGTTTTATGTGGTGAAAAGTCAATAACACTGTTCTGCAACAGACCTCTAGAACTTTTTCATCTTGCAAAACTGAAATGATGTCTATTGAGAAATTTCCCTTTTCCCTCTCCCCTGGGTCTGACAACCACGAGTCAACTTTCTGTTTCTAAGGTTTGACCACTCTAGGCACCTCGGAATCATGCAATGTTTGTCTTTTTGTGACGTGCTTATGCCACTGAGCAGAATGTCAAGTCACCCATACCGTAGAATGAGAAGGATTCCCTTCTCTGAACATGAATGATGTCTCACCATCTGTATGTGCAGTTCAATATTTCTGTTTCTCCTTTCAGCCACTGGAGGACCTTTATATTGTCTCCATCTCTTGGCTATTGTGAACAGTGCTGCTGTGTTTACATCCTGAAGTGGGATTGCAGCGGCGTATGCTAGTAACATTTTACATTTTTTGAAGATCCTTCTTGCTGTTTTCCATGGTGGCTGCAGTTTTACATTCCCAACAATGTTGCATGAGATTTCCAATTTTATTTTATTACATTAAGAACACTTAACCTGAGACCTACCCTCTTAACAACTGTGAAGCATACACTGTGTTAGAGGAGTCAGTATATTCTGTGTGTCAACCCTGTATCGGGTACCTGGTTTGCCAATGCTTCCTCTCATTATGCACGTTGCCTCTTCGTCCTGTCGGTTCTTTCCCTGCCAGCTTGGCTATTTTTCCTCTGTTGCCTGTGCCTTTAGTGTCACATCCAAGAAACCATAGCCAAATCCAACACCATGAAGTTTTTCCCCTATGTTTTCTTCTAGGAGTTTTATAAGTTTCAGGTCTTACATTTAGGCCTTTAATCCATTTTGAATTAATTTTTTTATATGGAGTAAGATGAGGGTCCAACTTCTTTTTTTCATACGTGGATATCCAATTTTTCTAACACCATTTGTTGAAGAGGCTGTTAAAAGGTAAAGTGAGGCATGTTAAAATTTTTAAGAGTTTATTTGAGCAAAAAGCAATTCAAATTGGGAAGCATCCAATCTGGCACATAGAAAGGGGCTTCAAGAAACTGCACAAAATGAAAGACTTTTACAGGCAGAAGGCAGCTGGAACAAGGACATTACACCAGACAGACTGCACAGGAGCACGTGGGTTCTTTGCAAAGTCACTTTCCTACAGCGGATGGCTGGGGTCTGTGAGGTAGATGACTTAACTAGTAAGTAATCTAGGGAATGCAGGTGCTTCTGACTGACAAGTATAAGATTCCATTTCCAGGAGCTCTGGAACTGTAATTACGTCTCAGTTTTGTGACCTGGGGCTTAGCATAAGCAACTGCATTTGAACCTTTGCACCCTACACTTGAGGTTCTTTTCTGGGTCCCCTATTGGCTCCACTGGTCTGCACTGCTGTCTTTATGGCAGGACCACACTGTTTCCATGACTGGGGCATTGTGGTATGTTTCAAAGTCAGGAAGTGTGAGTCCTCTGCTTTGTTTTTCTTTTAAAGTTAGAGTTTCATCTTACATCATATATAGAAATTAACTTATATGGATCAAAACCCTCCCCTGAAGTGCTAAAACTATAAAACCCTTAGAATAAAACTTGAGGGGATAGCTTCTTGACATTGGCTTTGGCAATGATTTTTTAGATATGATACCAGAACCATAGGCAACGGAAGCAAAAATAAATAATAGCACTACATCAAAATTTAAAACTACTTGGGGGAGGGTATAGCTCAAGTGGTAGAGCGCATGCTTAGCATGCATGAGGTGCTGGGTTCAATCCCCAGTCCCTCCTCTAAAAAAAATAATAAATAAACCTAGTTACTGCCCCCCACCAAAATAAAATAATTAAATAATACAATAATAAACAAAATATAAAGCTATTTAAACAAAATTTAAAACTACTGTGCAGCAGGGAGGGTGTAGTTCAGTGGTAGAGTGTGTGCCTGGTGTGCACGGGTTCCTGGGTTCCATCCCCAGCACTTCCATTAAGTAAACAAATAAATCTAATTAGCTTCCCCACCAAACAAACTGCTGTGCAGTAAAGGAGACAATCAACAGTGAAAAATCAACCTATAGGGTGAGAGAAATATTTATAAGCATATATCTGGTAAAGGATTAATATCTAGAACATGTGAAGAGCTCCTTCTTTCCACGCTGCCCAGAGAGGGGTCTGTACGGCGTTGTTCTGGGTTCCCATTGTGACCTGAAGGGAAACTCTCACAATGTCCAGAGCCCTGATACCCTGAAAATGAAGGAGGAGGGTACTCAAATTCCTTGCAGCAGGAACCCACTTAGGCGGTACCAACCTTGCCTTCCAAGTGGAACAGTATATCTACTCCCTGATGGCATCGACATCACAGAGCTGAAGAGAACCTGGGAGAAGCGTCTGCGGCAGCTCGTGCCACTGTTACTATTGAAAACCCAGCTGATGTCGGTGTCACATCCTCCAGGAATACTGGACAGTGAGCTGTGCTGAAGTTTGCTGCTGCCACGGAGCCACGCCTGCTGCTGGCCACTTCGCACCTGGAACCGTCACTAACCAGATCCAGGCAGCTTTCCAGGAGCCGAGACTTCTGGTGGTTACTGATCCCAGGGCTGACCACCAGCCTCTCACCGAGGCACCTCACGTTAACCTGCCTGCCATCACCCTGTGTAACACGGACTCCCTTCTGCACTAGGTGGACATCTCACTCAGTGGGTCTGACGTGGTGGATGCTCTCCGGGAGGTTCTGCGCATGCGCGGCACCCTCTCCTGGGAACACCCTTGATCTCTACTTCTACAGAGATCCTGAAGAGATTGAAAAGGAAGAGCAGGCTGCAGCTGAAAAGGCCGTTACAAAGGAGGAATTTCAGGGTGAATGGACGGCTCCCACTCCTGAGGCGGTGGACTGGTCCAAAGGCGTGCAGGTGCCCTCTGTGCCTGTTCAGCAGTTCCCTACCGAAGACTGGGGCGCTCAGCCCGCCACGAAGACTGGTCTGCACCTCCTGCTGCTCAGGCCACCGAATGGGTCGCAGCAACCACTGAGTGGTCATAAGCTGTTCTTTCCACAAACTCTTAAAATGGAAATAGGTTGATGGAAAATAAACAGTTTCTAAAATAAAATAAAATAAAATAAAGAGCTCCTTCACAGCAATTATGTACATTCACAAATGTGTTTGCGATTCCTATGAACTATGGACCTGGAGATCCTCATACTAAGGGAAGTGGGCCAGAAAGAGAAAGAAAATACCATATGATACCACTTATATGTGGAATTTAAAAAATAAAATAAGAGAATCCAGCTTAGAGGGTCATTGGAGAACAGCTTTTAACCTAAAAAAGCAAATAAAGCATGATTAATTAATTACATTCATTACAAATTCAATCATAAAGGACAATATATATTAATTATATATTATGATAAATATAAACTATTAATAGCAAACTACTTTATAGTTTTCTAATTTATCACTTTCTGAATCTTATGCAAATTGTGTCTCCTCACATTACCAATACAAGATTGGTGAAAGACACTGAAAAAATAAAAATCCCTATGAACTAAACTGTGACACAGGGCTGGAGAGGGGCCACCCCCGAGGTGGGACAGTGAAGGAGTATTTGTATCCCTGCCAGCTGAGCGCAAACGGCTTCTGCTGAGCCTCACTGACAGACATGCTGCTCTTTCTCACCTTTTAGTTCTTACTCCCAAGTCAGGGGACCGGTAGGGGGAGGCAGTCACTTGCTGAGTTTGTTCCAGTTACACATTATGAAACTGAGGGAAAAACTCAGGATGTGTTTGGGCCCACTATAGGACTGAAACTCCACTGATCGCCTGACCTCTGGAAGCCTGGACTCTGATGGGGGGCCACAGTGACATAGTGGGTCTCTCGGAGTCGGTGTTAGTTCAGAATCAGTGTCCAGTGGTCCCTGAAAGATCTGATTACCTCCTTTTCCCCAAAACACAGTTACCCTGGTAAAAGGCCACAGGTCCTGCTGGTGAAGGCTGGGAGGAAGATAAACAGTATAAATTTGGGACAGGGCGCCAGGGTCCTTCCTCATGAGGACCTGTCCTCTCCTCCACTCAAGGGGCCCTGGGTCTGTAAATTAGCTCAGGTGGGAATTGATTGAGGGACCCATGACCCTCTGATTTATGATTCAGGTTAGACTTTAATTCAGTTGACCTAGATGTGTTCTAATGATACAGATCAGGTAAGAATTTAGTAGACTTCCTACCTGTGTTATTTTTAGGAACACCATTATCAACAGACCAAGGCTATCAGTCTTGCCTTCAGCAGCTGCGTGCCACCACTTGGCCCCTGCCACCTGGGACCCAGTTATTCCCCATGCGTGTAGGTTTCCCAGTACACGTCTGCAGTTCCCGCTGGAAGGCCTGGCCAACAGAGAAGACTGATCACGGAGATCTTTAGGGGCGCCGGGCTCCCCTCACTAATGTACTCCTCCCAGTCTTGGTGAGAGCTATGTTTCCTGAACCCTCCCAGGGTTGGTGAGTAAGTCTTAGAAGACAAATCCACTCTAACGCCCAAATTTCCAGAAGCCTTTGCATCTCTTCTTGTTCATTAAACTAAGGCAGGGCTGCATTTCCAGCTCACTCACTAAGGGCTACCTTTCCCACCTCCCAAGTTGCAAGCTTCACGGCAGAGTCTCTGCTTCATGAGCTCACATCTCAAAATTAGCCTGATCCAAACTCACCACAACTCGGCCCTTCCCACACTGTCCCCCCGGACTTCCCCAAGTATAAAACAGAGAACTCAGGTCGTCCTTTCTGCGTGCGGTGTACCTCTACGGGCCTCACTCTACCCTGCAGGGGGCCGTTTCTACTTGACTAGTTAGTCACAGGATGAGTGTGGTCATGGGGGTGGGTCCCCTGACTTGCAGGGGAATGGCCTCAGGGGAGATCACTGGTGTCCTCAGGAGATTCCACTGGGGGTGGGAAGGTTACTTCCACCGGGTGGGGGTTCTCTTCATCCGTCTAAAAAGACTCATCGGAATTTAGTGGCTCTGTGTCCCCACCTTCGTCAGGGTCTCCCCCACACTCCCACTCCACCCGCATCACCCTTCTTCCCCAGCAGGGTCCGCACTTCAAGAGCAAACACAGCAGGACAGCTCACGTGGAACCCAGTCAGTCTCAGCCCTGGAGCTACAAGAGGTGGGGGTCTCCTTCAGGCAGTAGGTAGAAGCCCTCAGGTCATTATGCAGGGAATTTGAATACCAGAGCTAATCCTGCCCCCCACCCCCAACCCCCGCCATTTGTACAGTGACAGTAGGAGCAGCTAGTCAATCTCATTCTATTCATCAGTTTTTAAAAAATGCTTAAAAATATTACATACACAGTCATCTACCTCCTTGTTTCTTATAAACAATTATTTAAGTGTATACAGTGGAGGTATTCAGTGTATCATGGACTATCGGTAAGCTCTTTACTCCTGGAAACAGAGTTATTAGCATCTTTATATAATTAGATTAGGGAGCCAATTCCAGAAATCCTAGAACTGTCTTGGTGCCAATGGCTGTGTGTTCTTTCAGTGGTTGTGCCCTACCCCTTCCCTCCTGGCTCAGCAGGGGCCTGAGCGGAGCAGTCCACATACGTTCACCTTCCCAGATCTTAGAGCAGAAAGGAAAGAAGTGGAGAATGGACGTTGAGAGGTAACAAGTGTACAGCACAATCCTTTCTTGATTAGAATAACTAGAAAATTGATCTGCCTATACATATGTATACATATTCTTTTTCATATTCTTTTTAGTTATAGGTTGTTACGAGCTATTGAGTACAGTTCCCTGTGCTCTACAGTAGCACCTTGTTGTTTGTTTTGTATATAGTAGTTTGTATCTGCTAATCCCAAACTCCTAATTTATCCTTCCCCCTTTTCCCCTTTGGTAACCATAAGTTTGTTTTCTATATGTTTCTGTTTTGTATAAGTTCATTTGTCTCATTTTTTATTTTTTATTCACTTCTGTTTAAAAAAATTTTTTTGAAGTATAGTCAGTTTACAATGTTGTATCAATTTCTGGCGTACAGCACAATGCTTCTCATACATTAATATACATATATTCATTTTCATATTCTTTTTCACCATAAACTACTACAAGATATCAAATATAGTTCCCTGTGCTGTGTCTCAGGTTTTAGATTCCACATATAAGTGATATCATATGGTATTTGTCTTTCTCTGTCTGGCTTACTTCACTTAGTGTGATAATCTCTAGGTCCATCTATGTTGTTGTAAATGGCATAATTCCATTCTTTTTTATGGCTGAGTAGTACTCCATTGTGTATATATATCACAACTTCTTTATCTAGTCATCTGTTGATGGACATTTAGGTGCTTCTTTGTCTTGGCTATTGTAAACAGTGCTGCTATGAACATTAGGGTGCATATATCTTTTTGAATTAAGCTTCTCTCTGGATATATGTCCAGGAGTGGGATTGCTGGATCATATGCTAATTCTATTTTTAGGTCTCTGAGGAATCTCCATACTGTTTTCCATAATGGCTGCACCAAATTACATTTCCATCAACAGTGTAGGAAGGTTCCCTTTTCTCCATACCCTCTCTAGCATTTATCATTTGTGGACTTTTTAATGATGGCCATTCTGACTGGTGTGAGGTGATACCTCATTGTAGTTTTGATTTGCATTTCTCTGGCAATTAGTGATATTGAGCATCTTTTCATGTGACAATTGGCCATCTGTGTGTCTTCATTGGAGACATGACTATTTAGGTCTTCTGCACACTTTTT